TAGTATTAGCATAATTAATGATGCAAATAATTGACATACTGAGCATTATATCTCAGAAAACTTCTAAATTAAGAAAGGTTAAAAATATAATGAAATAAAGCAGCAAATACACACACATACTCATACACACATAAAAGTCAAATATTCTGATAGTTATTATTCCAACAAATAACACCAGTGAATATGTCAGGGCAGAGAAATATTAATGCATAAAGTAGAAGCTCATCCAACATCTTGGAGGAAAATGAGTTACTTCTCTCCAAGTGCAATATAATTCTGGAAACCACACTATTTGCCTTAAAGTTCTAAAGAACTTATATTTATTGAAAGATTTACAGTGTTATTTACTTAAAGTATTCATTTGGATTCTAGCCACTGCAGAGTCTGTGATATTTAGATGCAGAAATAAAAATAAATATTGCTTTTTTTCTTCTTTTGAAAGATTAAATATGCTTTTTCATTAAATTAATTCCTCCGAAGTCATGCAAATTGAAATGTGGAAAAAGTGTCAAACTATAATATAAAAATACACAACTTGCATGACAAGGAATTATGCAGCCTCCCACTGATTTCTCACACTGCTGCCCATTTAACCTCATTTCCACTCAGTTCCAGTTTTTGCTTAACCCTTCTCCCCAACTTCTATTTTTATCTTTTCAGGAGGCAGCTTTTGTTTAGTAGAAAAAGCAATAATTCGAAATCATGTAGATGTTATTTTTAATAGCATTTCTTTGATATAAAAGATTGGGAAAGATTATGGCTGGCATTCCTTTGAGTCTTTGTTTAATATATCTGAGAATGCTTTTCAGCTGTCTTGATAAATGAAAGACAGATTGGATAATTAAAGAAACTGTAGGCCCATTTACTTTACTATAAAACTTTATAATTGTTCATTCATCCGCTGGGATTCAATATTATACAGAATAATTCTGTAAATAACCTAATTCTATTTCTCTTTGTAGATAGCATGAATTATTATTAATAGGGTTTTTTTTTTATTAAGCTTTGGTGTTTATGTGATTCTCTACTTTTGAAATATCAAGAAAAGAAACAAAATGTCAATTAAATGAAAACAAAATAAAAGTTAAAGAAATAAAAATGTTCTTCCACATGTCAACTTCTCGTTCATAAAAATTGCAAGTGTCTTTGATATGGAGATTCCAGCCTTTCTTCAGCTTAGGAAAAGATTCTGTTACTACCCCAACTTCAGTTGGCTTCTTATTTATTCTCTTCTTCCACCCTTTTTATCCAAATATTGAATGTACATTGTTTAAATTTTATAATTACTGTAAAGCTGTAAATGAATTTACCTGCTAGTCCTTTGTTTAGAATTTCTCAAAATTTACTTCACTATGTTTACATTTTATATGGTACTTCTTCTCTATAATGCTTGTGAGGTTAATTACTTTGTTATTATATTTATTTTCTTACATTCTTTCTGTAACTCTTCAGATACATAAAGAGAGAGAAAATGGTAGTTATATATATAGAAATAGATATAGGTACAGATATACATACACATGGATATAGATATAGACATTAATATAGTACTCTGTCTTGATCTTGAGTGGAGTTCAGTGTTTATTTAAATCCATGAGAGCATAAAATATATACTAAGATGATATCTCCCTCTAATATTTTTAAGTAAAATATTCATACTTTTTCTTTTGGCTTTTTAACAGTTTATTTTTATAGTTTAATTCTATACATAAATCCTTTTGTCATATCCCTTTGTTTGATTTTTCTATCGACACTTTCTTATTTGAAAAGAGAGGTTGATATTTTTCTGGTGTATTTTCCAAATTATTTTCACATGATTTTTCTTAGAAAACTTGAAATTAACTATAATAATATTAGAGTCCTCCTCTAACTTAGTCTGGAAAAAAGATGATCAATTTTTGTTATCAGTTCAGTAATTCAGTGTCATAAGATAGCTGGAAGCTAAGGCTGAGTTCAACAGCAAATTCCCTCTCCATTTATATTCTTCTTTCTGCTTGTTTAGAAACCCTATACCAAGGACCAAATCGAATTATCAGTTTTGTGTTTTTTTGGGAGGAAGCTGAGAAACACTAGTTCTTTGTAACTGAAGTCTTTCCTAGCATTACTTGCTAGTAAATCATTTAAAACAATGACTTGATGTTAGCAAACTGCTATGTCTATGAACTTCCTATGTCCCTCAAAGACTTTCAAATAGCTGTAACTAGGCCTCCGTTGTGCACCCTTGCAGAGCTACTTCCCAGTGAAGTTTTCTGTGCCCCTCCATCACTCGCAGATATTTGTGTGAGGTAGAATGTGTGTGTGAGGGTGGAGCAAGTTTTATGAGGACTTTAATACTGACACATTTTTTTTTCAACATCATACTACTGCTGGGAAGAAAGTGATGAGTTAATCCAATGAATTCTTTCAATCATGTGTTATTTGCACTTTTTTTTTAGCATAAAACCTTTAAAATATTGCATTATAAGATTAAGAAAACGTATTTGCATATCTCAGAAACAAAAAAGATATTAGATTAAAATGGTCTTTTATTTTTGAAGGCATATGAAATACATACTCATATATGTAAGTACTCAGAAATATCCGAGCTTTATATTCTTCTAGAAACAGGTGAAAAAACAAACAAAACTTGAAAGCATGCTCCAAGAGAAAGAAAGGTGATTGAAAACTCAGAAATCAAAATGTGTAGAACACTGTGTTACATGGGAATAGATTATCAAGAATCTTTTACTCTGCTCCCAGTAAAAAAATTAATCAGGTAAATATAATATAAATGAACAGAGAACAAGAGGGTAAGCAAACTATAAATATATGGGAATTATCAGTCTATAAATGGAATTTCCAAATAAATGTGTGCTGAGATTGACTAGGAGGAGAAGAGAGAGTGAAAAGAACTTAGGGTTCTTTCTCCAACAAAAAGTGCAGATGAGTCTGCAAAGCTGCCTGAGAAGGGGTGGTCAGAGAGAAAGGAAATAGTAGGAGCATGTGTTTCCACCAAGGCTGAAGCAGAAGTATGTTTTAAGGAGAAGGAGAAGGTCAGTATATCAAAGGCCACTGATAAGGAAGGAAGGTGTGTGGTCAAGGCCACTGAGAGTTAATGTAAGATTGTACAGAGAAATATCTACTATCTTTATCAACATGGAACTTGGTGAGTTGTGTGAGAGTAGTTCTGGTGATCTGCTGGAGAGTCAGAAATAAACTGGAATGAGTTGAAGAAGAATAGAGGGAGAGGGAATGATACAAGTATAACACTTTCAGAAATGTGGCTAAAAGGGAAGAAGCAAGACAAGATAGTAACTGGGATTGAAATTATTATAAGATGACTTAGTTTTCAAGGATGCAAGAGACTTGGAAATATTTAAAGGAAACAGAGGAACCAAAATTTCAGAATGTTAGCAAATGAGTTAGTGTAATTATGAGATTGACATTGGACAAAAAGAAAATATATAAGAAAGAATAGAGTTTGATAAAATACTTAATATACAATATATACAAAGGTTGACAAATATGTGTATATAAATGTATATTAAATTAAGAATTACTTGTTTTACTTTACTGATATTTCTGAATTTTTTACTTTGTATATGTCCTGCTTTTATAATCTAAAATTTATCAGTATGTGTGTGAATGACTATATAAAATATATAAATAAAAATACTTGAAAGAAATATGTCACATATACTTTGTTGGAAAGTGGAACTATGAATTGGATTTTTTTAGTTTTAGAGATTTTCTACAATAAATGTATACCACTTTTATACTAAAAAATACATTATTTACAAAGGGCACCCTGATCTTAGCAGGAATTGCAGTCTAAATTTGTTTTTATTGCTTTGTTCTAACTCCTTTACATAATGTGGCTTATAAAACCATTGTTTAGAGATTTCCTATGGGCTGTCAGTGTAAAGAATAAATGGGCAAATTTATGGGGTCTTGTAATGGAAGAAGCTAAAAGTAGTTACATGGCATTTGATTAGTTGTTACTGACTGAGATTCTCTTATCATACTTCAAAATGCCTATAAAATACAGAGGGGGGAAAAAAGAGATAAATTTAAAAATATTTTCAGAATCTGAAAGCAAGTTCCATTAACTCCAATCCTGATGATTTAGGAATAAGTAAAACAGCAACTGCCCCGTCAATTTCACTTCATGACATGAATTAACCCCTGAGCACCTGAATAATGAACTTAAAGAAGTAAAGAGGTTTTAGCCCTTGAATTGGACAGCCAGCTTCCACATTGTACATTATGGAAGAATCACATAACTCAGAGGATTGAATACAAAAATTGAGAATATATAGTTACAAAGAAACATGGATTTTTTTTTCCTTTCCCTCCCTTCATCCCACTGTCCCTTCTTCCCTCCCTTCTTTCATTCCTTCTTTCCTTTCTTCTTTTTGTTTATAATTTGTCATTTCTCAATTGGACAAAGCTTTTTATAAGTATGGGAGAAAATGATAAAAAATATACAGAAAACTAAAGATTGCTGAATTCAAGTAAATAACACAAAACATCTCTTTATGTCAACAATAAATCGTGAAGTCATGTATATACACGTGTGTGTGTGTGTGTGTGTGTGTGTGTGTGTGTGTGTGTAGACATATATAATAAGAAGAAGCTTGCAGAATAAGTAAATGAGAGCATGATAGTGAAGTCTCAAAGAGAAAGGTCAAGTATTGAAAATTAATATCATAAAAAATTTATAAAATTCTTGTACATACTCAGTAGAGGTTAAAGAAACAATGAACTTGATGCCAAAATATTAGGACATCTATAAATAGAATAAAAGTCCAGAAGACAGAAAGATTTGACAAATCAAAAAACAAATTTCTATTAAATGATATATGGTGCCTGATGTAGTGGCTCATACCTGTAGTCCTAGCACTTTGGGAGGCCAAGGTGGGAGGACTGCTTGAGGCCAGGAGTTTGAGACCAGCCTGAGCAAGAGCGAGACCCTTTCTCTGCAAAAAACACAAAAAGTAGCCAGGTGTGGTGGCACGTACCTGTAGTCCCAGCTACTCATGAGGCTGAGGCAGGAGGATTGCTTGAGTCCAGTAGTTTGAGGCTGCAATGAGCTAGGATTGAGCCACTGAACTTTAGCCCTGGGTGACAGAGGTAGAGCCTGTCTTAAAAAAAAAATATATATATATATATATATATATATATATATGTGTGTGTGTGTGTGTGTTATGTGGGGAAAATTTAGAAACTTAAATCTCTCATTGAAAACAAAAGATATACATTTAAGTGAGTCAGAAGTAGTACTAACATTTCAAATTTGATAAACATTTTACAGTTTGGTTATATTTATCAGGAGAAATACTTAAAAAGACTCTTTAAAACACTTATTAAGAATGATAAAAACAACCAATATTTTCAAGACTGTTTAGTTGAGTAATTCAATATTTGTAAATGTATTTTAAGAAAATAATCAAATATTCATGTTCAAAAACCTGTTTATAGCATCATTTATTACAATATTAAACATTGGAAATACTCCACATTTCCATAATTTTTAAAGAAAATAATGCTACCAAATAATATTGAGAGCATTAAGCCATATTTTCAGATCATTTTAGTTTCATGGGAAAATACTATAGCATAATGTTAAAGTGAAAAAGATCTCTAAACTATATATTTAAATTCTTGTAATTTTGCAAATATATAAAAATATATAGTATTTGATTAAAATTTTTATACCTTTACATGGCTGAGCAAGAGTAACTAGAGTGTTTCTTATAAAATTGTTATAATAGCTGTAAATGTTTTATTGAGTCAGAAATACAACGACTCAAACTATCTTGAATAATATCTTAAGAATACTGAATGAGGATTAAAAAGTAGGCTGAACATAGTGTATCATAAAATTTAGGAACCAAGAGGCTATTGTAGTATCTTTAAATTTTGTCAGTTTAGGTAAACTGGTAATTCATTTACTGGAATTCCCTTCCTTACATGAATCTGGATGAGGGATGAGAAATTGGCCCAAAATTTGCAACTTGGAACAAAAGCAGCAATCATATCCTCTTACACAAAGTCAGTGTAGGGATATTCAGTGCTGCAGCTGACACACATAGTTAAGAATGGGTCAGTTCACGTTGTTGGCAGTTGGGCCTGCAGCTCTTTCAGCAACTGTGGATCTCCTACTTTCACTCTGTAAAATCCTGAGCTAGGTTCCTGTGCAGGTGCATGATAGTGGCACCAGTTTTTCTGTGGGTCATTCAACTTAAAGAATTGGAGGTGACTAGTAACCAATTCTAAATTCCAGAGAAAGACAGATGCTAGTTTTAGTTTATACTCATGGGTTCATTTATCCTCATGGGTTCTATTTTGTTTTATTTTGCTCTTGCTTTGTTTCATATCATGTCTATTCCCAACTGCCAGCCCTGCTAACCTCAGGTCTTGTACCAGACTCAGATATAGCAGAGTTATACAGGCTGCTTAACCAACACCCACAATCATGGGAGATCTAATCCATTCCTATAATTTACTAGATCATGCTTAGTGGTCTGTGTCTCTGAGAGGATCCTGACAAATACAGCTACCAAAGTGTTCCTCATGTTTGATATTCTTATTTATCAAATAGTAACAACTTATGATGATGAATGAACCTATCAATTATCATGAATTTCATAATGTATGTGTGCTCATTTAGCAAAAGTAAATAACTAAAACTACACTATATTAAGTCCTTGAAGGAAATCATGATGTACACAAACCATGGTTATATAAGGAATATAAATATCATATTTCTGAAAATTAACGGTGGGAAAATATAAAAGAATAACTTCTACCACTCTCCCTCCATATCACTTGCTCCTCTAATCTGCTCCAAAACATTTATGTGCGTAGGGTGAGTAAGTTCTCTGTAATTTTTGGCATAATCTTGGTTGGAAACACTTATCCATAGGGTGCTATGAAAAAGAAATAATTTCTGATATAAATTCTGTTATTTTCACCCTTATTTGCTTGAGAAAATATTCCTGGAAATCTCTGATATTCTATAATATTTTATAGATATAGTTATCTTAACTTTTAGATAGTTATCTTAACTTTTAACTTTACCATTTTGTGAAGAGTAGGACGTTTCTGCTTTCATGAGTTTGAATTTTATTCAGGCAAATGCTGTCATGGAGGAAAATAATCTCAGAAATGCATGTTTACCTCTGATGTTCAGGAGTTTCCTGTAAAACTTTTGAATTGGTAGGACTAGAGTTTAAAATTGTTTTTCTATCTGCACATTGTTCTTTATTTTTCTCAAAGATTGAAAAACTCTGTACTCTCTGGAGGAGTCATGAAAAAGAGGGGATCTTTGTATATATGAGATTTCTTTCTGGAGACACAATGAATTTTCCTGGAAGACAGGACATATTTCAGATAAATAGCTTTAATTTAGACTAGAGTTCATAAATCATAAGAATTAGAAGTCTTGAATATATAATGCAAAATGAATAGTCAAACGAGGGAATCAATAACAACAAGATCTCTTGTTAGAAAATACAAAACTATTCATTTATTTTAAAAATCAGAACAAGCAAAATATGCATACCAAAACCATGGCTGATCATCCATTTCTATAGAAATCTAAAAAAATCTAACATATATCATCCTTTTGAATAGCTAAGCTGTGGCAGATTCCGCCTTTCTATTTATAATGCACAAAGCCTTACATCCTCTTTGATTTGTCCTCAATTTTATTGGCAGAGCTCATTACAGTAGTAACTCAATATAAGTGAAAATAATTAAATACTCATAAATGTCTGTGATATTGCACTGAATTTAAAGCTAGAGAAATGGTCTGTTATTGTCAAGTTGAATACTAGAAATATCTTGTTTCAATACAAATGGTTATCCCTGAAGGAGTATATATAGCCATTTAGTTTATTTTTTCAAGAACAAATCTAATAATAAATATAATCCCTTGGATGTAAAACATGCTTCAATTAGGATAATCCAACAGATTTAATCATGGAAAAATCAAGTCTCTGATTAAACCACAGACTCTTTTATTTTCTAGTACTGCAAAGAATTAAATACAACCAAATATATGCAGTTGATTCTTGTTATTTGCAAGGTTGATGGTCTATAAAGTCACCATTAATGCTGAATTAGTGAATACTGAACTATTGATTCAAGGAGAAGCAAGTCTTCATTCACAGCATTTTTGTCAACTGAAACACCATTTGCATTATATAGGTTTGGTTTCCAATATCCTTGTAAAGCATGCTAGGCTGCTCTTTCACATAACCATGTTCCTGTATAACACTTAGCAGGTATTAAAAATCTTCTGTAGTTTTCCAATCTGAAGAACCTGTCTCACCTGCAAATTTAACATTTTCACACCATATTGCCTTTCAAAAAGTGTGAGCCAGCTAGGCCTAGTGGATAAAGGTTTAATATTTTCCTGACCTAGGTAATGTGACTATGAATTCTTGTGGTTTTCAGCCTCACTATAATGCTGTTTAAATATACTTTTAAAAAATATCATCATCTCATCATCTCACAAATTTATAGATTTAGCCACTTTTTTGTATTTTCCATAAATTTACCACACACTATAAATCTTACTTTAGCACTTTTTAAGACAGCCTCACATACAGATTGGCTAATTTCCTCTTCCTTTCTCTGGATGCCATACTTACTGTTTCATTAACATTGAACTCACAGCCAACAGCACTATAATTCATTCCTGAACAAAGCTTATCTAATACACATATTTTCTCTGCAAAGCACATCACATCCTTCCTGTGGTTAGGAACACTAGACAGCACTTCAGCACTACACTGGGGGGCTATTGTAAATAGCAAAATCACCAACAAAAAGCACAAAAATGTGAAAAGCGTGGCACTGAATACACTGCAAAAAGGACACATATTTACAATTTGAGAGCTGAAACAAAAACACGGAGTGTTGCCTTGTCAACCTCATCTGGGAACATGTGTTTAGAATGACTCATTTTTTCCCCCACCCTCTGCATGTTTACAAATAGCTGTAGAAGTTCTAAGTACATTTTAGTAATTAAGCAACTTCACAAATATGGAATCTACCAATAAGGAGAATCAATTGTATTTGGGATAAAGATCCAGTGGAAGAAGAAGTTTTGTTGAGTTTATTTAACTGTGAAGCAAAGTTCCCTTTGGCTGGTACTCTTCTTTCCTATTGGAGCTTGGGGTGTGTGTGTTAGTTCAAATTCTTTTGATTTAGTACACAATGGAAGATAGCAGTTTTGTCAGTGTAGAAGTGAAACAGCTCATTTTTTTTTTTTAATTTAAAATATTTATTGAAACAACTACTTTTGCCTATAGGTTTATTTTTCTTTTCATGTATTGAGGTTTCTATTATTTGCCGTATACTATGTGCAACCTTTTGGTTAGTGTAGCAATTTACTTTTACTAATTTATCCATGCACTCTGCAGAGGCATTGAAAGATTTTTGAGTTAGGCAAAATTTTAGTTATTACTCTTTGAATTTGCCTGTTTTGCCTGATTTAGGGTCGCATTTTGCCCTGCATTTGAAGTTTTCTGGTAGGTCCATGAAATACATTGATTTTCATTTTGTCCACCTTTTTCTTGTGAAGATAGGGGTAATGACTTTCATGATTCTTATATATTGGAGTTGACATGAGAAGTTTTCATTTTATTTACAGTATGTGTTTTAACTTTCAAATATTTTAGAGATTTCGCAGACACATTTCTTTTATGATTTACTGGTTTAATTTAATTGTGGCCTAAAACATAATTTGCATTACTTTAATTCTTGAAATGTGTTAAGTTGTGTTTATGGCTGATAATGTTTCAATATCAGGTAATGTTTTATGAAAGTTTGAGAAGAATACACATTCTTGTTTTTTGTTACTGTGGCAGAAATATTTTATTTATTTATTTTTCTTTTTTCTTCTTTTTTCTTTTTTTAATTTCAGCATATTATGGGGGTACAAATGTTAAGGTTACGTATATTGCCCATGCCTCCTCCCCTCTCGAGTCAGAGCTTCAAGCATGACCATCCCCCAAATGTTGCACATCTCACTCATTGTGTTTGTATATACCCATCCTCTCCTCCCCCCTCCCCCCCACCGACACCTGATAAATGTTTTTCCTATATGTCCACTTAGATGTTGATCCATTAATTCCAATTTGCTGGTGAGTACATGTGGTGTTTGTTTTTCCATTCTTGAGATACTTCACTTAGTAGAATGGGTTCCAGCTCTATCCAGGAAAATACAAGAGGTGCTATATTGCCATTGTTTCTTAAAGCTGAATAGTAACATGGATATACCTTAAAGCGATACAAGTAGATTTACCATTTGATCCAGCAATTCCACTACAGGGCATCTACCCAAAAGATCAAAAGTTACTTTTTGAAAAAGACACCTGCATTCGAATGTTTATAGCAGCACAATTCACAATTGCAAAGCTGTAGAAACAACTCAAGTGCCCATCAATACATGAGTGGATTAATAAAATGTGTTATAAGAATACATATTCCAATTTTGTTGGATGGAGTATTCTACAAATGTCAATTAGATCCAGTTGATTGCTTTCATTTCAGTTTTTGAACCCACATTAAATGTAAAGATTGATCAATTAAAAGTCAAGCCACACACAAAGATGTATGGTGCTAACACTAATCAATCAGTATCTGGAGTAGCTACATTAATTTCAGACAAGACATACTTTAGAATGAATATTAGGAATAAAGAAGGGTACTACAAATGATAAGGAAATTGATTACCCAAGGAAATATAACTATCCTAAACATGTATGCATTTGACAACAGAACATCAAAATAGATAAATCAAAAACTAAAATGTAGACAATATGTAGTTGTGTCTTTTTAAATCCATTTTAACAGTTTAATAATTGTTATTTCTCTTCGGACTGTTTCTATTTTCTTTTTATCATGCCTTACAATATTTTGTTGAAAGGTAAAAGGAGGTAATGTTGTATCAGGTAAAAGGTGGTAAACAGGCTGTTAGTGTAATGAACCATTTTACTCTGACTGGGAGTTAGGCTCTGTTTACTATTTGCTGTAGCTAAAGTTGCCTCAGAGGCTTCAAATCCCTCTAGTATCCTTGTTTTTCTCTCTCCTTTTTAATTTTGGGCTTCTGCAAGTACTCCTCAGAGACAGTCAGTGCTTTCCATCTCTTTCAAATGTTATCCCCTGATAATATACTGAGGAATTAGTGATGTCTCCATAAGGTGTGGGGGAGGGAGAACATTCTATTATCTTCTAAATAACTCTCTGTCTTTTAGCAGCCCTGCATCTTAGGACTGTACTCTTCATGGGTGTTTCTCCGATGGTACAGCTTTTACCTCAGTCCTATTTATATTTCCTTCCCTGGCTGCAGCATTTCCAGTCCATATCCTTAAAGAATTGATCTCTGTTGATTACATATTTCTCTGTCTAGATAAGATAGGAAGTTTGGGTAAAGTTGGAGTGAAAGGAATCCCCGTTCTTCAGATAGAATAAAGGTTTGACAGTTCTCCCTTGGAGAGCAGACCTTTGTTATGATGAAAGCTCTGGATGTATTTCACAATGATTGCTCTTTTCTCTCTACCAAAGCTACAGTGAGATCTTTCTAATAGTATCCAGGCCATGAGACCTGGTGTAGGTCCTGGAGTTAAAGCCCAAAACATACATGGATGAATTGTATAGGGATAATTTAAAAAATAAATAAAATCTAAAATAGTGAGGGGATCCCCTAAGAATGACTCCAAAGACTTTCTCACTTGTATAGCAGTTCACATTCAGCCACTGGCTATTTGTCACAACTGCCACTTACGTGTTTCTACAGTTTATTACTCTAGCATTATATATTATATTCCTAGGGCTGCTCTAAAAGTGCCACAAACTATGTGACTTGAAACAACAAAAATTTATTTTCTTACAGTTCTGAAGGCTATAAATCTGAAATAAAGGTGTTGGAAGCCCATGCCCCCTCTGAAGCCTCTAGGAAAGGATCCTTCATTGTATCTTCTAGCTTCTAGTAGCCCAAAGCATTCCATGGTTTACAGCAGCATAATGCCATCTCTGACTCCATCTTCAAATGACCTTCTTTCCTGTGTGTCTGTATTTTCACATGTGTTTCACGTCTGTTTTATAATGTGGTCATTATAATGTGGATTAAGGGTCTACCTTAATGACTTCATTTTAAATTAATTACATTTCACATTCACAGGTACTTGTGGTTAGGACTTCAACATATCTTTTTGTGGCATAAAATATAATACATAACAAATGGGTTCTGTTCCAGGGAAGCAAATGTAGGCTTTGCTTTTAAGATATATCTGTCTCTCCATGAATTGGGATGAGTTTGCCTTATCACCTCAATTCTCTGCTTGATCTAAAAG